TCCCCCGTCGGCAAGGTATTCTTCAAATAGTTTTCTTCACTCACACAGAAGCTCGAACCGCGGTGCTCCTGTCGCCCTTCGGGCCGCTGAACAGCTGACGCCACCGAACAGCTAGTGCTTTAGTTCCGCACTCTGAATAAATATTTAGCTCTGAATAAATATTATATAATTTCATTGTACTTTAGATTTCATCTAAAATATACTTTGGGACTTCAGTTTGTTACTGTAGCATCTAACCAACGCTTAGTACATACAATTTAGAATTGGTATATAGGTAGTCCTCATTTAGCGACTATTCTCAGTTATGACAATGATTAAAAGATAATTTAATCTTTTAACCAATCCTCATGTTTAAATCTTTATAGATCTATAAAGCACAGAAAAGCTGAAGATTATAAGCATGGTAATGACTACTTTGCTTAATGACCAAGTTGCTAGTCTCAATTGTGGTCAAAAACAAGACTACCTGTAACCCATGTAAATCTGAGGAAAGAAAAAACTGATTGCTAAAAGAAGTCTTAAGCCATTAAAATATAAAAAATATAAATACTTTATATGACTGATCTTGTGGAACTTTCCAAAATACGTTCTAAATCAAAGATGCCTCCATATCATAGGCAAATATGATCTGCCAAAAGAATTATTTTTTTCCTTCCTAAAAGTTAATAGGAAATTCATTCTCTGTTAACTTTTTGAATGTATTCAGTATGGTGCTGTAATTGTTAAAATTACTGATTTCCTATACAATATATGTCTGCAAAAGGAATAATGAATTCCATTATGTTGGAATCACATTTCTTTTTAAGTAAAACAGGCTTAAGACTCCATCATTAATATATAATACCAACTATTTTGGAATATAAAGAACAAATTTAGTGAAGGCAGCCATTTATCACAAACATATATTTGTTTGTGTGTGTGTGAGTGTGTGTGTGTGTGTGTGTGTGTGTGTGTGTACACAGGCATGGGTACTTTCAACTCAGTGTTGACTCCTGGCAACTGCTTAGACAAACTCTGTGATTTACTTGGCAAGGTTTTCACAATTATTTTGCCATTGCCTGTGTCTTGGGGCTAAGAGAATGTGACAGACCCAAGCTGTCATCAAGCTAGCTTTCTGCCTCAGGCATAATTAGAATTCAGTCTCTTGGTTTGTAGCCTGCTGCCTTAAATATTACACCAAATTGGCTCTCATTTTATTTTATTATTTGATCACATAGCCAAGCATAAAATAAAAACCACAAAAATTCATATTAAAAAAAAAATCTAAAAAATGTTGAACAGTTTTGAGCAGGGGTGTCAAAATCAATTTCATTGAGGGCCGCATTAGCATTGCAGTTGCCCTTGGGGGGGCAGGGGTGTGTGGCCAGGGTGGGTGTGGGTGGGCGTGGATGGAGTGGGTGTGGCCTATTGGGTGGGCATGGCCAGCTCTACATCGCTCGCGTCAAGAGTGCCTGTGGAAGCCTGGACAGGAGTGGGGCAGATCTGAGGGTCTCTGGCAGAAGGGTGTGGGACCAGGGCAAGTGCCAAGGCATGGTCCACTGGCGGAACCTCACCGTTCCTCTCAGGCCATGTGGGGGGGGCTGGATGGTGGTGCGGGCTGCCTGGAGCCCTGGGCATCAGAAGTAAAATGCCCAGCCTGGCCCTCGAGCACCCGTAGCACCAAGCCCAGGCCCACTTCCCCAAGGGGACACACAGCTGCACTTACCTTCTCCTCAAGGCTGCTGCTGCTGTGCTTGCTCTCCTTAGCCAGGTTGCTCATGATGGGTATGAGGGCAAAGTCAGAGGGAGACCCATTCCTTCTCGATGGGAGGAGACCCGGGTTTGAATCCAAAGTTTCCTTAGCAATAGGATGGGAGACCCCCAGGATAGACCAGGAGGAGGGGGCAAGGGGATGGTAAAAGGGCAGCAGGGCAGGACTAAAGCAGGACTTCCCTCAGACCCTCACTCTCCTTCTTTCCTTCTTTCCTTTCTTCCTTCACAAGTACAGAGTGGTGGGAAAATATTTGAGATGAAGGAGGGAAAAAAACAGGCAAGAAACGCAGCTGGGGAGGTGTCACCCTTTGTGAGGAATGAAGAAATGCACCATCGCCTGGAAGTGGCCAGCATATGGCCATCACCTACTTTACATATCTGGCTTGGTGAGCTCTGGGGGAGGGGATGCCATGAGCAGCGTGAGAGTCCACATTACCTGCGCAATGCCGCCCATCCCCCAGCCTGCCCGGTTTCGGCAGGCAGTGGGGCGGTTTCCTAACAGTGCCGAGAAGTTGAGCTGGGCAATGCGAAGCTCGCCAGCTTTGCATCTTGCTGAAACTGGGCAGGCTGGGGGCTAGGCAGCATTGTACTTCTCATCAGTTTCACCACACTCGGCTCAGCCTCTCGGTGCTGTGAGGAGAGTGCCCCGCTGCCTGCCAAAATCCCTCCCCTGGAGCCCATCTAGCCAGATATGTGAAGTAGGCAAGGGCCATTTCTGGCCACTTCCAGGCAATGGTGCATTTCCTCATTCCTCACAAAGGGTGACACCTCCCCAGGTTGCACCCAGGGGGTGGGGCCGATGTGGCAGGGGCTGGTTCCTCACTGTTTACAGACGGTCTTGTGGAGCTAAGACTGAATGCATTTCAGCATAGATGGCCACCACAAAATTGTACATTGGCTCCCGGCCAGCCTGGGCCAGGGCCAAAGCAGCGGGGGCCTTCCCTCATTGTTTCCAGGATGACTTTGTGGGCCACATGAAACTTTGCGGGCCACATCTGGCCCCCGATCCTTGTGTTTGACATGTCTGGTTTAGAATTGTACTTATAATTAAAGTATAGATTTAAAAAACACAAAAGTAAATGTCTTGCATTTATGTTATTTGCACTAGATTTAATTGAAATTAAGTATAAAAGTTAAGGCTCTCCTTCAGGCTGGGTCTTCACATAATGTTACTGGAATTTCTTGGAAGTTTAATTCACTGAAATGCCTGTTACAAAAATATTGTAAACAGCTAAATAATGTATATTTTTGTACTTTTATTAGGAAAGTGCTCTAAATTATTTACTTTTTATGTTATCAGAGCTATAATTTCTTCAGATTATTTTAGGACGAGGCTATAGCTATAACAGTTTATTCTGAGCTACTGATATGTCAGTTCAGTAAAGCACTGATTCAGTTTTTTAAGTTATCTTCTTACATAAAATATAACACTGCCAGTTATTTTGCTGAAATATGCATAGACACTCCACTATATATTCCTGAAGTATACTATAATATTGCAATATATTAAAAAAATTTAGTTGCTTATATAGTCATAACACTATTAGACCCAGAATTGATAAGTGGTTATCCAGAAATTATCAAATCCTACCATATTCATGCCAAAATTCTTAGTGTGTTACAAGAGGATGAGTTCATATCCTCAGAGCAAAGCAACTTTAATAGGTTCATGAGTCAAACTCTTAGCACTAGAGAAAAGATTGTACGGTACAAAAAGCAGTGTATGAGAAAGCCCACTTGGATGTTGTACCTGCCATCTGCTATTTGCTAGGTGTCTTGTTTAATGTTGCTTAAACATCTCAAAATTACAAAATACCAAAGAATTTTTTTAAAGGAACCTCTAGATAGTTTATTTTTAAGGAGTGGGAAATAGCAATAACTTTGAAATAAAGCATGTTTTAACATCCTTTATATTTAATACATCCTTACAAATATTTATGAAATGTACTTGCCTATGATAGATTTCATTAATGTTTGGAAGAAATTAGGTTCTAAAGTCTTACAATGAACTACAAAGTAATCCCTTCAAAATGCCTTGCAACAATGCCTTATCCTTCTCTTTGGACCAAATGGGTCTGGCATACTCTCCTTTGCCCAATTACTTTTTAGCATTTAGTTATCACTCCTGTAGAAATTCTATCTATACAGTGGATAAGAGTTGATACCAACTTGTTGGCACATAATCAATCAATCACTGATCTAGTCACACTGCATGTGAATTATGCATACAAAAAGAAAAAAAAACATTGTGCGCAAATGATTAGCTGCAAGCCTTGAGTGCATGCATGGATCCTGCTCCTCTACTGGATGGAAATACTGTCAAGAGCATCTCACTGATATAGTAGAAACTATTCATATAGTAATTTATGATAATATTTCTGACATCAAGTTTCATGGAATATCAGTTTTCCCCAATGAACTTGAAGGTGCTCTATGAGCAGTTCAAGTTCATTGGGGAAAACTGATATTCCATGAAATTTGATGTCAGAAATATTGTCATAAATGACTATTCTGTCAAATAGATGAAAGGTCAGACATTTTGCCCCACTAACCTGCATTTCCATCCCCTGCTGTCCACATATTCTAAGAATGACATGAAGATTAACTTGCTGAATATTCACAGGGTACTTCATGATTTAGAACCTTCTAAAATCAGGGAGGGCAAAACATATTCATAATCCACTAATATCAAGCCAGGTATGTTATAGAAATACAAGTCCTGTGAACCTTAGGGTTATATTTTGAAATTTTTCATTTCTATTCTTATGAACTGATATATGATATCCATTTATTCCTGAATCCTGAATATACATTGACCAAAATAAACCTAGTAATAAAGAATACAAATAAAACTTACTAAAATTTGAAATGGTGCTATCAGTATCATCATTACATAAAATACCAAACATTTTGAAACTGAATGGGTCTGTACGTTAAGCCTCAACAAGTACATGTGGCAGGGTGCTTTGAGAAGTGAATGAAATGCTCTCCACATTCATTGTTCAAAATATTGGGGCACTGCATCCTGTTAACCAGTCCCATCTGGGAATTTCTCAATTATTTTAGCATATGTTTGGGCAGTGGTGGCAGCTCCATGGGAATTGTCATCAAAGCAAGCCATTTTGGGGGGCAGATCATTGTGCCTTTAATACAGTGTTTTAATACTTCAGGTAGCAAACTAAATGCTTTGCAGCTCTACTGAATACAATGAAAGGTGTAAGGTGTGATTAAAGGGGCATTGGTCTTACCTGAATGCCTTTTCTCAGCATGACGATGGAGAATCCACCAATGGGTTTTCCTCGTCTTCTGCCCGTAGACTAGTCAGCCAATTTTGCTCCGCCTCTCCTCTGGAGACCTCCCCTCCCCAGTCTCGACTGAGGCAAAGCTTTTGGCTATTTTTCCTTCTGTTAACTCCATCTTCTCTCCTCACAGGACCTGACAGGCCTCGAGGGTGGGAGTGGATTCTCCATCGTCATGCTGAGAAAAGGTGTTCAGGTAACATGACTAGTGGAGAATCCACCAATGAGACATACCAAAGCCTCACTGTCTCTGTGGGTGGGAGGCCGTCTGGGCCTGTGTCCCAATCTCTGATACTATGCATTGGAGTACCCTCCTGCCAAAGGAGGCCTCCACAGATGTAAATCTATCTAATTTGTAGTGTCTTATAAAAGGGGAAGGCGATGCCCATGTCGCCGCTCTACATATCTCTTCAATCGACGCCTGGGTTGCCCATGCTGCTAAGGTGGCAGCGCTGCACATGGAATGTGCAGTGATTTGTCTGGGGACCATCAAGGACTGTCCCTTGTAGACCTCTGCTATGAACCCTCTAATCCATCTGCCGATTGTGGATGTGGTGACCCTTTGACCTCTTGTGTGAGAGTGGAAGGAGACAAATAGTGCTTCCAATCTGTGGAAGGATGCCGTTCGCTTGATGTATTGTTTTAAAACTCTGCAAACGTCTAAAGTGTGCCACTTGCACTCTAATTCATGGGAAGGCTTGGGGCAAAGGTTTGGTAGCACCACATCCTGTGTTCTGTGGAATAGGGAATTGACCTTTGGAATGAAGGAGAGGTCCAAACGTAATACCACCCTGTCCGTGTGGAAGGTACAAAGATCCTCCCTCACTGACAGCGCTGCTAACTCTGAGATGCGTCTTGCTGAGGTAACAACAACTAGAAAGGCGACCTTAAGAGTCAGGTATTGCAGGTCGCAGGTCCGGACAGGCTCAAATGGAGGTAGGGTGATGGCCTGTAAGATCTTAGCTGGATCCCAGGAGGGGTATCTGTGGACCATGGGTGGTCTACTGTTTGTTGTGCCCTTGATGAAGGATCGCACCGTTGGGTGTCTAGCTAAAGGTTCGTAGTTACCACAGGTAAGAATGGTAGATAGGGCGGCCACCTGTCTACGAATTGTGTTGGGAGCTAACCCCCCTATCCAGACCCTCCGCTAGGTAGTCTAAGGGTCTGGGATAGAGATACTACAAGGGTCTAGATGTTGTTTGTTACACCAGCTGCAGTAATTTTTCCAAGTGGAATCATAGATCCTGTTAGTTGTAGGCCTTCTAGAGGCCTGGAGTGTCCTAATGACTCTTTGTGAAAAGTTGTCTCTCTAGGAGGCTCCGCTCAAGTGCCAAGCAGCCAATTGGAGCCACTGTGGCTCTGGATGTAGGAGGGACCCCTGGTTGAGGGAGATTTGATCATGTGGAATCCTCCACGGTGGAGATGTAGATAGATTTACGAGATCGGCAAACCATGGCCGTCTTGGCCAGTGCGGTGAAATGAGTATTACCTCTGCTTGTTCCTGCAATATTTTCCTGATGGTTACTTGTATCAGAGGCAACGGTGGGAATGCATACAACAGTCCTTTTGGCCAATGGCCTCGGAGTGCATCCGCTATCTCTGCTCCTGGTGTCGGAAAACGGGAGAAGAACCTCAGAAGCTGAGCATTCTTTGGGCTGGCAAACAGGTCCAGCACTGGGTGGCCGAATCTCTCTGATGCCTCCCAGAAGAGAGCAGGGTGCAGGCTCCACTCTGAGTGGTCTATCGTTGCCCTGCTCAGGGAGTCTGCTTGGTGATTTGCTTCCCCTGAAATGTGCTTGGCCTTGATGGAGGCTAGGTTGCTTTCTGCCCAGATTCCCAGTGCTTGTGCTTTGTCCATGAGAGCTCTGGATTACATGCCTCCCTGCCGGTTGACGTGTACCTTGGTCGCCATGTTGTCTGTAAGTATCAGGCTGTGTTGATGTACCACTGCACTGCAAAAATGACGAAGGGCCAGGTGTATGGCTCTGAGTTCTAGCCAGTTTATGTTATGTCTTAGGTCTTTGACTATTGACCCTGTGCTAGCTGTGATTGCATGTGCGCTCCCCAACCGAATAGGCTGGCATCTGTTGTCAGAGTGACTCAGTTGGCTTCCCTGAACAAGTGTCCCTTTCCTATCACTGGGGAAGACCACCATTGGAGTGACCTTAGGACCTTTGGTGGCACCTTTACTCTTAGATTTGAGGAGCCTATCTCCTTTCTTTGAAATGGGAGTAGGAACCATTGTAGTTCTTTGTAGTTCTACCTGCATGTTTAGACTTTTTAGGTCTAGTATTGCTCTCCACCACCCCCCCAAACTCTTTGGGACTATGAATAAAATGGAATAGAATCCTTATCCCCACTGATCTCCTCCTACCAGTTCTATGACCTGAATGTCCAGGAGGTGCTGGATGGCCTCCTTGATGAGATTCCTTTTGATCAGATCCCTTGGAGATGGGCAAGGGATGAACCTGTTTGGGGGTGTTGAGAGGAATTCCAGTGATAGGCTGAATCTGATGGTATTTAGGACCCCAAAGATCCATGATGGTGACTTGCCATTTGTGAGCAAAAAGGGCTAGCTGGCCACCAATGGGGGAGCCCCCCCGCCATCACTTGGATCTGTGGTAGGGATGCCCCCGGCTCCTCGAAAGGGTCTCTTTGCTTGGAACTGTTGTCTGAACCTGTCCCTGTTACTGCTTCTCTTACTCTGGCAGTCTGATATAGGCTGATCTGCCTGCATCAGATCGAAAGGATGGTCTGCGGGAATAGGAGGGAGCTCTCCTCTCCATTCTCTTTGTCAGGTGGGCCAGAATCTTGCGTTTGTCCTTGTCTTCAATTAGAAAAGGGTCAAGTGTCTCGCCAAAGAGCTGGCCACCCTTATAGGGTGCCACCACTAAGCACCACTTTGCCTTCATGTCTGCTCTCCAATGCTTGAGCCACAGCAATCTGCATGCAACGGTGTTGTACACTATTGCCCTGGCAGAAAAGTTGGTCACGTGTAAGGAGGAATCTGACATGAGCTCCAATGCCACCACTAACCTTCTTAAATTCTGGTGAGTTTTCTCCTCCTCTGGGAGAATACTCATCTGGAGTTGGCGCAGCCAAAGTAATGACGTCCTGGCAAGAAAGGATGTAGTGATGCCTGCCTTGATTGCCCACGCTGAGGCCTGGTGTGCCCTGCAGAAGGTGAGCTCCATCTTCTTCTTTTTTTAATAAAATTTTTATTGGTTTTTTTTCCCCATCAACATATATTAATTTTTCCAATCAACAAGTTGTCTAGAGTTTGCTATGTTAATACATGTTCAATTGCTAATCCTTCATTTTTTTCTCTAGCCAAGAATAAAATAAGTTCCAAATTTGATAATAGTCTGTATCTTCTTTATCTTTCAACCTCATAGTTAATCTGTCCATCTCTGCACATTCCAATATTTTCCTGATTATTTCTTCCTCTGATGGCAGTCCTTCATTCTTCCATAATTATTATGCAAAAATTATTCTCGCTGCTATAGTGATGTGTAAGATTAAATATAATTTCTGCTCATTAATCTTTTCAGGCATAATACCTAGTAAAAAAAGTTCAGGTTTAAAATCCACTTGTTCACCCAATATTTTTTCTAACCACATATATATCTTTCTCCAATATGCCTTTGCCTTACCACATGTCCACGTGCCTATGTTATGTTTACATTTCCAACATCTATCTGACATATTTTTAAACATTTTTGCTAATCTTGCTGGCAGTAGGTGCCATCTATAAAACATTTTATACAGATTTTCTTTGTATGAAGTTGACATTGTTAATTTATAGTTTCTCTCCCATAACATTTGCCATTTTTCTAATTCTATATTATAGCCAAAATTTTTGCCCATCTTGTCATCGTTTCTTTCACTTGTTCACTTTCCATATCTAAAATTAACAAAAAGTTATACATTTTTTCTTGATTAATTTCTCATCTGAGGTTAACAAAATCTTATCAAACACAGTTTGATCCTTGTAAAATCCATACATTTTTACATCTTTTTCATATCTACTTTGTATCTGTAAATGTGCCCACCAGGACAGGTTAATTCTCTGATTTTCCAATTCTTGTTTAGATTTTAATTTTCCATCAATATCTAGAATATCTTTATATGTCCATATTTTTTCAAAGTCTACCAAGTTCGGATGTATAAATGCCTCCATCGTTGATAACCACTCTGGAATTTTTAAATATATTTTAGCTTTAATTTTTTCCCATACTGTTGACAAGGCATTTCTTATACAATGATTTTGAAAGTACTTATGGGCTCTGTTTTTCCCGTACCATAAGAAAACATGCCACCCCAATTGTAAATCTTGTCCCTTTAAATACAATAACCTTTAATTTCTAAGTGTTATCCACTCTTTCACTCATGTTAACACAGATGCTTGGTAATACAACGTCCATTCCGGCAACCCAAAACCTCCATTTTCCTTAGCATCTTGTAATGTTTTCATCTTAATTCTAGCTTTTTTCCCCTGCCAAATAAGTTCAAAACCAATGAATTTAAATCTTGAAAGAATTTTCTCTCAAGTTTTATTGTTATCTTCTAACATAGTTTTGAATGTTTCTGGAATCTTTGGCAATTTATTTTCTTCTAAATATTGAGCAATTCTCTATTTTGCAGCCTCCTCTTTGCCATACAATTCTTTATAATATTTCTTAATTATCTTTTTTATTTCTTCCGTTTTAAATTGTAAACAACCTTTCCCATCTACTAAGTTATGTATTATTTTCTTCTCTTTCTGTTTTTTAAGCTTATAAGCTAGCCATCTTCCTGGCTTGTTGGCATTTTTGAAGAAATTTTGTTTTGCTCTCTTTATTTGTTCCGCCAATTTTTCTGAGTCCAGCAAATTCAACTTATGTTTTATTATTTCCATTTCTCTTTTCAAAGTCTTTTTCTGTGGATTCTGTTGTAATTCTGTCTCTAACTTTCTAAATTTTTCTTTTAATAATATATATTGCTGTCTGTTTATTTTTCTTTGCCATATACATTATAGGTATACCTCTAAAATATGCTTTAGCTGTATCCATACGTTTTGTAGTGATGTGTCTTCTTTATTTTCTTTCTCTTTTCGCCAAGTCTATGAATTCTTTATCTTTTAGTAAAGATTGATTTAAAATCCATCTTGGTTTT